TGTAAAAATAACAGGCAGGACCACCAACTGAAATGCACACATCTGAAACCTACATATAGATCTAATGCCGAGGGGATTTCCCAAGGCAAACTCTCCAGGAGGAGGAAGGTCCCACCATAAAGACCAGCAGTTGGAGGCATCTTTCCTGCTCATTATACTATCAGCCAACCAGCAGATCTTGACAGGGCACAAGTTCATCCTATAAACTCCCATACAGGGTGACCAAAGAACTTTATTTTTCTTAGCAAGTCATTACATGAATGGTAGAAATAGAGTTGCAATGACCCAGGTCAGGGGCTTTACTATTTCACAGAACGCAGGACAGATTGATTCAAGAAATCTGGATAAATTATCAGAGAGCAAGAACAAACATTTATTAAGCTCCAGTGGAGTTCAAGGCTTTGGGGGGAGAGGGAGAACCAAGGGTAGGGGAAATGGGGAGAGGTACGGGTGATACAAAGAAGGTTAAATCAGACACATTGCCTACCCTCAAGCAGTTTACAATCTAATAAAGAGTAATGTTCCAGTAATGAGTACTGTATCCAAATAAATATGATAGAAATTATAATTTTAAGTTTATAAGAGATCAGAAAGTCATGAGAGATTTACAGAAAAATGAACTATTTCTAACTGAGAGGAAAGTTTCAGGGAAACCTTATGGAGTAGATGGCACCTGAAATGGGCTTTTAGGGCAGGGAACAATTTTAGCAGACTAGTACATGGAAGGACAGGAGACAAGATGTATCAATGCTTAGAGACAGTAGAGGAAAGGACCAGATCAGGGAAGACTATTAGTTCAATCTGGATGGAGTATCAATATTTGAAGGGGAGTAATACAAAACAAGTGAGAAAAGGTGAGTTGAAGTCTGATTATAAACAATGTGAATGCCAGGTCGAGTTTGTATTTAACCCTGTAAGTGGCAGAAGGCAGAGCACAGAGAATCAATCTTTGGGAGAAAAAAAAGTTAATCATACATTACCATATATTAAAGCATCCAAAACATATCTTATTCAGCTCCAAGAATTAAGCTTGATAAAGACAAGAAGTATCTAAATAAAGGCTGGAACCTCAGCACCCCAATACCAAAAATGTACTTCTCCTAACTCTTTTTCCAAAAATGGAAGAGAGGAAAAGGAGAAGAGCACACACATGTGAGCTGACAGTTCCCTTAGCAGTGATAATACACCTACCATGCATTTACATAATCGAGTTCTTACTGTAAGATTGCAGATTTACAGAGTAATATAACAGCTTCTTGGAAGCCATTATGGGAGCATCATGCAAATAACAGAATATGCTGAGACCATATGATGGAATGCCTTGAAACATCACCTGGGTCAATACCACAGCAAAATAAAAAATGTGTCCTAACCACCACCACCACCCTGATCCCAGAACTGTCCTAAAAAACATAGCAAAAAAAACCTACCCACATGACCAGGTTATGTAAAACCAGAAACATAAGTCAAATCAGATGCAAGAAAACAGTGAGTACATCAGCAAAGAAAATGCAGAGAATCTCAGAAATGCAAGTATCGTGGTCTTTGATATTACCTTAGTTACCTGAAATTGACTCTGCCTCCAAGCCAGAGTCCCTCGCTCAGCCAGAGACCAAACTAACAAGTTAGTTCTGGAAAGCCTATCATGAATGATCCTGACCTCACCAACAACGGAGTACTGAGGCAGAAAGAAACAGCATAATGTGGTAAACAGGACACTAAATTTAGAGTAAGAGGACCCAAGTTCAAATCATGACTATTACTTATTACATATATGATCTGAGGCATTTTGCTAGCTTCCTAGTCAGTAAAGTGAAGGTACAGAACTAGGTGCTGTCCAGATATTTACCTGTGCAATCATCTGCAACATCCTCAAGGTTACCACTTCTTGGTCTAAATAGTATGATGCCAATGTATTATCACATGCGCCAATACTTGGTATCACTGTGGACTCCCACCTTTCATTTAGGCATTGCTGCTCTTTGCCTGTCTAGAAGATCACATGGTACACATGATGCCTACTTAGATACATTAGCAGTAATACATTATCAGTAATGTCAAGAAAATTCCCATTTCATAGACAAGGAAGCAGAAACACACACACACACACACACACACACACACACACACACACACACACACACACACACACAGAATCTCACTTCCCTACAAGTCAGTGGACTCCGTGGGCTGTGAGTTCTGGTTTTCATAAGACAACACCTGGCAGACCAAGTCAATTACTAGAGATTAACTTAGGAAATGGAAATGCTTCCAGGCTGAGTGCCTGAAGTTTCAGTATGAAATCTATTCATTCTATCATTGCTATTCATAATGAGTGAGTTCAATAACTAAAAATTGTGACCTTCATCAGCATCTAAATATCTCAAAGCATACTCAGATAAGTCAATAAGCAATAACAGGAAACACAGGGAGACTCCTTAAAAGCCTCCCTGAAGGAGCTAGGTGATGCAGTGGATATAGCACCAGCCCTGAAGTCAGGAGGTCCTGAGTTCAAATCTAGCCTCAGACATTTGACACTTACTAGCTGTGTGACCCTGGGCAAGTCACTTAACCCCAGTTGCCTCACACACACACACACACACACACAAAAGCCTCCCTGAAATCAGAGTCCCTTTTCAGAATTCTCAAAGGCTTGCCCTGATATCATTGTGAATTTTCTCCTTTTACAAGTCATTTCAAGTCATCTCTGCATGAGCACCTCTCTCAGTTGTGTCACGAAAATTATTCCAAGGATATATTCTGCAAATCACCACTGAAAACCGGGCAGAACTTACAACTCATATGACCAGCAAGATGGCAGAAGAGTCACTTTCTCCACATCACTTCAACACTCCAATGAGTTGGAAAAAAGTATTCTAAAAAGAATACTATACAGAAGAAAGCTCTACCTCACATAAAGGAGGGTGGTATACAGGAACACCTCATTTTATTACACTTATTATTGTATATTATTATTGTACTTTGCAGATATTGCTTTTTTTTTTTTTTACAAATTGAAGGTTTGTGGCAACCCTGCATCAAGAAAGTCTATTGGTGTCATTTTTCCAACAGCATGTGCTCACATAGTGTCTCTGTCACATTTTAGTAATTCTCATGATATTTCAAACTTTTTCATTATTATTTTATCTATTATGGTGATCTGTGATTTGGGGGGGCACCATGAACTGTACCCACATAAGACAGTGAAATTAATAGATAAATGTCATGTGAGTTCTGACCACTCCACTGACTAGATGTTCCCTGTCTTTTTCCCTCTCCTTGAGCCTCCCTGTTCCGAGATGCAACAATATTGAAATTAGGCCAATTAATAATGCTACAATGACCTGTAAGTGTTCAAAAGTGAAAGGAAGAGTCAATCAATTCGACCAACTTCATGGTTGTCTTACTTTAAGAAATGTCACATCCACCCCTTTATCAACCACACCCTGATCCGCCAGCAGCCATCAACATCAAGGTAAGACCCTCCACCAGCAAAAAGATTATAACTTGGTGAAGGTTCAGATGATGGTTAGCATTTTTTTAGCAATTTTTTTTTAATTACAGCAAGTACTTTTTTTTAGACATACTACTACTGCATACTTAATAGACTACAGTCTAGTATAAACACAACTTTTGTATGTACTGGGAAACCAAAAAATTCGTGATTTGATTTATTGCAATATTCACTTAATTGTGGTGGTCTGGAACCAAGCCCACTATATCTCCAAGATACGCCTATGGTGTAGAAAGAACACGAGAAGGGAAATTGAAACCTAGGCTCTAACTCCAATGTGACCACTGGCTAAAACTGTATGAGCTAAACAGGGGTAACTCATAGTACTGTAGTAACGATGGAATAGTGTAAAGCATTATATAAAGTCAACAATTATTATTAATCTCTCTGGGCCTTAGTTTGTTTCCTCATGCATACAAAAGTAGAAGCTGGACAAGATGACTGTTAAAACCCCTTCCAGTTCTAACATTCTGTGTTTATGCTGCTACTAGAATTACTAATGACAACTTATGGAAGGACTGAAAGAAGAAAAGGTCAGGATGTAGATACAACATGCCCAAGTGTGTGAATTTAACAGTAAATCTTGAGATAAAAGTATTCCTCCCTGGGTAAAATTAACAGTCATGACCCAGAGCTGATATTCAAACACCTGTATAAACATAAACTGGTAAGTCTAGTTAATTAAGCCGACCTGCCTTATTTCTTTCAAAAGGATCAAGTCATTACAGGTCAGCTGCCTTTATAACTGACTCCAAGAAATTGCAGTTTGTTTGCACTATAATTTTATTGTGGCAACTATAACTGAAAGGACTATAAGCTCCCAAAAGGCAGGGACCTGGTTTCCATAGCACTTAATACAAGAATCAGCAACTCTTTTAACCCTGAATGTCCTCACTAGTAAAAGGCCAAACGTATTACAAAGATAATACTGTAGTCATAGGATTTTCTTATTAAATGGTTTTACCCAAAATTCTAAATTTCCTTATTTTAATGAACACAAATTTGTCCCTAGACTACCAAATGGCCTGGGGGGACATATGCTACTTAAGACTTGGTGGGGGGGGGATCAATCTGATTTCTCTGCCAACTGTTAAATTGTCATCTGGCAAAAGACTAATCTTCCCACCTCCGTCACATTCAACCACAGCCACTGAGACAGCTTCCTGGAATTCTCCCTTCTTGCTTTCATATTAGTAAGTTAGTGATGACAGCAATGTATCCTATGAGCAAGGTGAAAGGGTCACCCCAAGAGCAATAGCACAGTCTATGCCTGGATTTTAGAAGAGCCACAAAAATGCTGGCATATTTAAAGCTTAAATTCTGGCATGGGATTCTTTCTTGATTTCTGTTTAAAAGTGGACCAAACCTGAGACATAAAACCAATAAAAGTATGTTCCAGAACTTTACTTTCCACCCTCACCCGCACCTTCTGGACATTCCAAAAGTTCCCGAATTGTTCTTTTCCCTCTACAGTTGCATATCTTACCAAGTTCTTTTGAGCCTTGACTTTCACTGGCCAACTCCCCCATTTTTACCAGGGCATCAAAATAACCTTTGGCAGCAAACGTCACACCTAAGAGAAAGCAAAATAAGAGCTGGTCATTTCCTTGGGAAAAAAAAGCAACACAAAACTCAGGTCATGACTTTTGGCAACCACCCAGGCACTGTTAAAACCATTCTGTAACATGTCCCATTTGCGTTTCCTTTGTATACAGAAGTATTCAACACTTGATTTCTGGTTTCAGTTCAATGTTGGTCTCTTGACATTCCAACAACACATAGTAATGTCATTCCAAACATTAGGCTTCTTTTCATTTTAAGGACGTGGTCCAGGCCCAGAACTATTCAAATGAAATCATGAATGCTGTTCCCTATTGTGTGTTATGGGTAGGGGAAGGCGGAGAAAGTTTCTTTCAAGTGTTCTTCAGAAGATCAGGAACACAGCAATTTAGCAAGGAAGTCCATGGGAATTCAGGCATTCTCTTAGAGATGTATTACTTCTTACACCATACTGAATCATTTCTCACTTTTTCTTTTTTCTGGCCTTAAAAAAAAGTTATGCATGTCTCCTCCAAGTGCAGTAAATGTATAACTGGCAGTTAACAATGCCTGGTCATATTAATGTAGCCATTTGCCAATGTATTTAACCCATAATGCTTTAAATAACAGATTCTGGTCTAATCAGCTGTGCATTAATATTCTGCTAAAAATCATTCCAATCAACTGAACTATTGATATAGGTTGATGAAACTTGAGCAGTCATTTTGCCTTTCTGACTCTCACCTTCCACGAGGGTAAAATGAAAGGGACTGGTGTCTAAGATCCCTTCCTACCCTAAATCTATGATCCATGACTAAAATCTGAGTGTTAAGTCCTAACTTTCTCAACTGACAAATTAATTATCTTTCAAAAATTTTCAAGTTCATTTTCAGACCTACCTAAACCTAAAAAGAAAGCTCCACTTCCCCAGACTCCTGACCAACAAGGAATGGTGAAAACAGAGAGAAGGGAATTCAATGGCTGAAGGATCAGGAGTATGGTGAGATTGTAAAGCCAGGATAATTATGTTTTTAATGCTGTTTTACATAGAACCCAGTGAGGGTCCTTATAACTGGGTACTCCATCAAATTTTATTTTTATAGTTTTCAATTAAGTGCAAACAATTTGTTCTGTAGCATAAGACTCTGAAGCCTCGTCACCATGGGGGATGTTGCTGCCTGGATAGAGTGAGCTCCTTAAGACAAATGGAAGAAAAATATAACTAACTTATCAGCTATATTTTGGTTTGCCAGAGGTAGTACAGTTGAAGTAGGTATGAGGGCCAGCACTGATAACTATAATACAAAATAACATATTAAGAAGAGCATTAAAGAGGTACAAAGTTTTCTATCAAGTTGGGGGGGGCAGCAGGAGAGAAGAAGGAATGTCAGTTATATAAAGGATCAAGAAAGGCTTCAGAGGACTGAAGGCTGGAAAAGACTTTAGAGATCTTTACAGACGAAAAAATTCAGGCCTAGGGGAGGTAACATTTGACATGGCTTTAAAAGACTGATAAGAAGAAGACCAAGCCTTGTTCTATCTGCTTATATGAATTCAGAAAGTATGGTTTTAATCCATACTGAAAACCTGGACAGACTGTTCTTTTTGTTGTTTAGTAGTTTCAGTCATCTCTGACTCTTTGTGACCCCATTTGGGATTTTCTTGGCAAAGATACTGGAGTGGTTTGCCATTTCCTTCTTTAACTCATTTTACAGATGAGAAAACTGAGGCAAACAGAGTTAAGTGACTTCCCCAGGGTCACACAGCTAGTGAATGTCTGAGGCCAGATTTGAACTCAGTAAGATGAATCTTCCTGACTCAAGCTTGGTATTCTATTCACTGCTAGCTAGCTGCCCAAGGCTGCTACATCAGTCACAAAAGAACTTATTTGCTATGTAAGTGGAGCTCCCCCTCTGGGTTACCATCCTCCCAATTCATTCACAGGCTGATTCCAGGCTACCCTCAGAGGCTCAAGATTTTCCATGGATTATCTCTCCCAAAACAATATCATAATTCCCTACCAGTATACTTACAAGCAAAGGTATTTACCTGAGCAGGCATTGTAAGAACAATTGTAATAAAAATATTCCCTCCATAAACCTGAATTGCACTCTCTCACCATACATATGGTCAGTGGGAAAAGTGGGTATACACACAGAATACACTAGGTAGGGAATATACTTGACCCAGACAACTCAGACTTTCAGCACTGCAGGATTTTAATGGCCTTTCCCTTCTTACAGTGTCCTCTGATGATTATCCCCCTAGGCATAGCATCTCTCATGAGGCAGATCACTCAGTTGGATTCCCCAAGCTTGTTACTCTCCACAGTTCAACTTCCAACTAGAGGTGGCTCTTTTCTCTACTGCCAGGTCACACTCTACAGAACTTCCTTCCTGCCTTGGCCCTCAATTCATTCCTTAGCTTATTCCCTGTTGGATGTGATGGCTGCTACGGGGATAACTCCACTGCAAATCTCAGCCAATGAGGGAAGGAAAAAAAATAACTTCTCTTCCTCTCTCTTTCCTATGTCTCTCAAGATCTGGGTCCTTCTTCCACAGTTTGCTCCCTTCTATGCTGCCAGAGGTCACGTCCCCTTAGAGCTATCTCCTGATTGAACCTAATTCCTTAGAGAATCTCTTGATTTTTAAAGAGCCACCAGTGTGGTAAATCCTTGGCCATCAAATAGTTATATTCCCTGTCATTCCAAACAATTTTGTTCATAGAAATTCTTCACACAAGACATAACAACGTATAAGCACTTTTTTACACTTTTATATTCACTGTCTTTCTTAACTGCCTCTTATATTCTGTGATTTCATCATCTGGACTAGGGAAAATCAGTTTATCAGGGGTGTACTGAGCAACTCCTCCCCCTTCAACTGCATAAGGCCCCCTATAGTCTTCTAACATTGACCTTTGCAGGGAAGGGATAAATATCATTGAAGTCAGAGTTGTGGAACATAAGGGAAGTAAAGGAAAAATGAGAGGAGGTGCATTATGAAAAGGGAACTGAGAAGACTAAATAACCATCAACTCAGCAGACACACCAATCCTTTGTAGATCATCACTTTCAGAACCATTCTAGCCTCTGTCAGCAAATAGAAAGCTTTCTAGTAAAAATTACAAATTGACTCAACAAATTTTATGCTCTTTTAGTCATGAAACAGTCAGAAGAGATATGAGTTCAAGTTTCAGACATTTATTGAATGACATATGACAATAGGCAATTCAGTTAACATCTCTGAGCCTCAACGACTTCATGTGTAAAAGGATGAGTTTGGACTAGACGACTTTTAAGGTCCCTTCCCATAGATTTACAATCTATGATCCTGCGATATAGATATGAGAATCATCTATGAATAGATAATAACTGAACCCATGGAAACATGAGATCAGTGAGAGAGACTATAAAAAGGAAAGGAGCCAGGATAAAATTCTAGGGGACACCTACACCAAGGGAGAAGACCATTATGACATTCAAGCAAGGGAACCTGAAAAGGAAGTCAAGATAGATGAGAAGAAACCCAAGAAGGATAAGTGTCACAGAAACCAAAGGCAGGGATAATATCTCAGAGGGGGCTGTCAACAGTGTCAAAAGGTACAGAGATAAAGGAAAATGAGGACTAAGAAAAGGCCACTGGATTTAGCAATGAAGAGGTCACAGGCAACCTTGCAACAGTTTCCAACCCAAATTGTGGATTGAAAGTCAGACTGCAGTGTTGAGAAGTAAATGGAGTTCATGGCTAGGAGATGGGGGGAAAGGCAATTGTGCTATATACGAATGCAATGGAATATTATTGTGGCAAGAAATGTTAAGTATGAGGAATTCAGAGAAATAGAGGAAGATCTGTGTGACCTGATACAAAGCAAAAATAAATAGAACCCAAGAGAAAACCATATATACTGACTATAACAATATAACAAGGCACCCCCAAGTGGAGAATGCTAGAGAGAAAATGGCTTTCCACATGGAAGATGCTTGGGAGAAGATGGCTTTACACATGGAAGATGCTAGGGAGCTGCTTCCAAGACAATAGTGATAGCATGCAAGTAAAGTGCCTCTGAGAGATAGACAACAGAACACACAGAGACGTTCTATATTTGATTCTGGTGAAAGAGCCACCTGATAAAGAGATTCCTCAATTGATTGTTAAGTCATTCAAAAAGACCTGTCAGCTTTAGCCACTACCTCTTTGCCTCAATGTTCTTGGGAGAGCTCAGCTACCAATCAAGAGAGTGGAGCCTATAATGTGTAAGTTCAAAAGATCTAGAACAGAGGTGTCAAACACACAGTCGCAGGCCACATGCAGCCCACCACACACCCAAGTGCAGCCTGAATCAGATTAAAATGTAACTGGGAAATATTTAACAAAAACAAATACAAATATAACAAAAGAAATAATGTTAATATGTGGTTTTCTAGGCTAATCATGTGACTCTCGGATATTCTTATGTATCTTATGTACAGTTTAGTGGCCTCAGGTGTTCTGAGTTTGTTACTACTAGTGTAGAGGACTCTTCAGCATGTTGTCCTTCCAGAGTACTGGTAAGGCAGCAAGGAATGAATTTTGCGAGTCACCTTCAGAAACCCAGACCAGTAGTCGCCATAGGCTCACCTTGTAGTCACGCCACATCTGAAGATGAAATTGGTAGAACCAATGCTACATAGCAACTAAGCTAAGTTTTGAGACTACCTCTACTCCCAAAACACAGTAGTACAGAAGGGTTTATGCTGCCAAGGTTAGGGTAAATGAACACATTTGTTCTTGCTCTGTTTTTCAAATAAATATTCTTTTGTAAAAACTACCTGATATTAAGTGGTTAAGTGGAATTAGGATGCTAGTTGCTAGGCTACTAAAATGAAGGAAACACAAATGGTGGAGGGCTCAAGCCAACAGTAGTAGAGAAAAAAGCTGGACCTTGCACTTCAGGATACCCTAAAGGACTCTGAGGGGGCAAGTGTAGACTGCCTGGACTAGAAAGAGTAGGGCTGCAGCATAGTTGCTACACAATGACAGGGAGAAAAGATAC